AGATCATAGAATTTCATAAGTAGTTATACATAAAAATAACATTTAGCTTCCAAATATTAAAACATTAAAACAACTTTTTATTCCACTTCACATAACTGCAAAATCATAATTTCATATTATTACTATGCTAGACCAAACCAAAATATTAACTTTGAATTCTAATACACTACCATTTAAACACAAAATGAGATATTAGACAATCCGATTACTTCAATGCTTTTGTCACTAAAAAGGTTATCGTGATCAACCAAAGGCTCCACATGTATCTACTAGTATCACAATGCTTGATCGAAGGCTAATCTACAAGATTAAACCTTTAATTGTCAATTCACACACTAATTACCTAATTTATAACACAATTTTTGGTACCCACAATACCTAAAATTTTGATTTAGCCACAATAATTTTCCTAACACGTTCCATTAATTTTATTTAACACCCAAACATATAAACAATACCATTCTAATACCCAAATTGGTCTTAATCACCTAATTTCTACCTAATGTTCATCCAAACCCTAACTAACAACTCCACATCATTATATAATTCATAAATATAGGTTTAGAGGCTTAATTCAACTCTCCAATATCTTAACTAAGGCAATAAGTTCAATTATTACTTAAGAACAATCAAAACAAAGCTCGAAAATACCCTAAACTTTTAGAAAAATTCATATAGAGGGAGAGGAAGAGGTGTAGAAAGCTTACATAAAGCTAAATCTTGCTCCATATGCTTATAAAGTGATCCTAATGTTGAGTTCTAACACCCACTGGTTGTCTCCCATTACCTCCTCGTCTTCTCTCTTTCCCACTTCTCATATTTGTGCATAATTTTATGAACTAATAAATACAAAAATTTACACATGTACCATAGCACATTGGCTTGTCCGCCACAATGCATAGCATGGAGAACTCCACATATGTTTGAATCTCTCTTTCTATGCCACAGCCTGCTTGAACTTTAATCTATCGCTCTTCTAAGGCTGTCCAATGATCTATTAGCTATATTAGTCTCCTAAAAATACCATCAGACAATAATTTATCTAATTGATCAAAATACCCTCATAAACACTAAAAAAATTCCCAAAATACAAATCTAGGATGTTATAATTGCCCCTTTACCTTATATATTATATCCTAGTCAAATGGGCCCCATATATATTTCATCTTCCTTGATCTCCTTAAACCACATTTCCCTATGGTTGTGCCCTCATTCTTCTTAATCTCTCTCTCCCTCTTACCCATCATATGCATCCATTAATTGAATCTCCGATAGACAAAGTGAATCAATCAATCGAATCTTTATGTTATACATAATAAGAGAGAAGGAAAAATGAACAAGAAAATATGTTTGCTATTATTCTTGATGATGATGATAGCTTTAGAGAGAGAGAGACTATGAGATGAACAAGCAACTTCAAAAAAGGTTAATGATAGCTTCACCACTGTGTGAAGTGATAGATCGTTTGACTATGTTATTACCAGCTTTACTAGCTCTATCACTACATCGTCCACCTTCTGTAATTCTTTGATCGCGTTCACCAATAGTTTGTTTACCCACATCCTACTGTTTTTGTTTTCATCCTTAGTCTAAATGATATCAAATGATTTAGGTTGGTCTAGGTATATTAATCTCAAATGCTATGGATTTCTTAGTTTTTTAATTATTTTTTAAATAGCTTTAGTAATTTCTCCAACAAAGTCTTTCCCAGGTGCTTTAACAAGTGTGTTCCTTAGCCTCATCATCATTACCACCACTTGGTTTTCGTTCAATAGAAGATGGGAGGCAATTAAACTACTAAACAAAATCACCAAATAAAGCTAGTTCTCTATTGATTTTTTTGATAAGAAGGTAATCTCACAATCCTGTTACTAATACTTGAATCACTATGTTCAGTCTTAGGCAAAGACCATTGCATATGGCTGTGGCTGTGAAGACTTAAGTGGGAAGCACAATGAAAGGATGGAAGAGAAGGAGTAGAATGAGATAGAGTATGGTTGTGGCTGTGGAGGGCAGGAAGCTTCAATGGACAAAAGGAGTGTTTGGTCCCAAATAGGGTATAGGAATTTGAGGGAGAGAATGAGAGGAGATAGAAGGCATTATCTAAAAGACAAGTATAAGGGGAGGAAAAGTTAATGGCTAATTTAGCAATACTTGGTGTACACCTAGCAATGACTATGAAGGATATAATGAATGTTTACCCCCTCAAAGAATCTTGACACTAGGGGTACACCTAGTACTCATTAAGTAAATGTTAGGGGGTACTTTTGCACCCTCTTTCATTTAATGGTGCTAGTGCCACTGGAAGAGAGCTTTATCGATATGTTTTCCTTTTGACCTAAAGATTAATGTCATTTATTAATCGTTACCATGGTAGAAAATGTAATATCTCTCACCCCACCCTCTCGAGGGTCTTTTGGACTGGGCCTACCCACATCACTGCAACGGAGGCTAACTTTTGCTAATGTGGTACTTGGTTATTCCTCACCCCACTAAAGATGTCTTTTTGAGCTTTCTCAGACTCAAACCTCTAACCTCTACCACCTCCAACCTCAAACAATATTAAAGTGAACTCCTACTCTCTCATAATGATCATGCCAAACATATGTTTAATAATTCCACACATAGCCATAAACATGTAAATTACACTTGAATAATCATTTTCACCATAAATTATACAATTTTTCAAACACATATACATATACATATATATAGGATTTAGCATAAAACTTTCAAAATTACAAATGTGCCAAACATAGTTGTCCAATCCACTTCACATAGAAGTTTATAAATTAATAATTATTTTCACTAAGAGTATACTAGTTGAAAATAATAGTTGAATAAAATTTTGCAACAACACACACAACTATCCAAACATACAAATAATAAGTTTAGATAATTTAGTTATCTCAACCCTTTTGTCTTTTGTCATAAAAAAGGTTTATCGCGGTCAATTACCAACTTCAAATATGTCCACTCACATAATACGTAAAATCTTATTTTAACACTCTCAACACTTGATTATCAATTATCACTCTAATAAATCTATTTTTAATCTAATTTTAGGTACTCATAATACTCAAAATTCACTTTAACACCCACAACACTTTTAATACATTCTATTAATTCCATTTAACACCCAACACACTGATAACACCAATCCTTTACCTACATTATTTCAAAACTCCTAAATATCACTTAAGGTTCATCCAAACCATAACAAAAAATTTCAAATCATTATAAAATCTATAAACCAAGGTTTAGAAGATTGATTTAACTCCTCAAGACCTTAACTAAGCCAATAGGTTCTATTACAACCAAAGATAAACCAAAATCAAACTTCAAACAACCTTAAAACCATAGAAAATTCATATAAAGGGAGAGGGGGAGGTATAGGAAGCTTACCCAATAATAATCAAGCTCCAAATGCTCTCAAAATGAAGTTGGGGATTAGCCTAGTAGCCCTAAGCTTAACCTCTGACGCCTCTTCTGTTTCCTCAACTCCCTCTTATGTTTTCTGGCACGCATCACTATTTAATTTATCCAAATTTTCATGGATCCACCACAACACATGGTGCGTCCATCGTGATAGATGGCACAAAGAGGCTCAAATACGTTGTGGGCCTCTCTCCATGTCATGGTCCATTCGAGCTTTAACTTAGCCATCTTCCAGGCTGTCTAATGATCTAAAAGCCATATGAGTCATTCAAAAACATCAATAATTCATAAATCACTTAATTTTATCAATTTACCTTTTTTAACACTTAAATTTTAAAAGTTTGGAAACTCAAGATGTTACAACTAGTGAACCATACTCTATTTCACAATCACAAAACAGAGCAAGCTCCCCTAACTCAATATCCATCCATCTCACCTTCTCGATGGCTATTTTTGATCTTCTTTTGTCACGACTAATGGCCCCCTCAACATCTCTCTCTGGTTCCCTTAAAATAGAGCCTTCATCTTTTGCTTCCTCTCATCTTTCTTGCACAAATATGCTTTCCTAAGAACCTGTTTTGTTGAGATAAGCCACCATTGAGAACCTGCAAGACCATTCATTTCAAAATCATTTTATTTTGAAATGAATGATGGTGGCGAAGAGAGGGTAGTTGCTACCAATGCTGACATCAAGCTAAAACCAAGATGGGTTATTCTCAAAGTAATTTCTTCTCAAAGCAAAATGGAGGAGGGAGAGTAGAGACCAAGATGATTGTTGGCAATGCCTTCACCTTCAACTTCTCTCTAAAGCTTCCTTCGTATGGTAGCCATGAGAATGAGAATGTACAAATAGGCTGCATCATACATGGACTTGGGAGAGATATAATGAAGGAGAAAGGGAGAGTGGGACAAGAGGGAGTAGATGAATGGAGCAAAGAAAGAGTTTATATTATAAAATATATTAAAAAAGTAGGACCCACTATATAATATTTTATAATAAAAATATTATAAAAGTTTAAATATGGGACCCACATAATTGGAAAAAGGGTAGAAGTTAATGTCAGGGGCGTAAGCAGTGAATTTTTTAGAGTTAAGTGGCAGAATTGACCATAAGTTGAGTTTAGAGTTATTTATGAATTTTCGAGTATAGTTTAGGAACAAAATTAATCCTTAATTCAAAAATTAATTTAAAGTAAAGTTTGATTTTATTGAAAGAATATTAATAAAATTTTAAAATAAAAAGGATTACGCAGTAATACAAATACTCGTGAAGGGAAGCATAATATGAATTTAAATTTAGTGACTGTATTTAATTCAAGTATTGAATTTTTGTATCATTTAAACCTTTAAAATTTAAATTAATAGTTCAAATGAACCCACTCATTCATTAATCTCAAATAGAGTATAAATTCAGAATTATTGATATAGATTTTAATGTTCATATGGTATAGGCACTCAATACCACTATCAAATACAGTCATTAAATTCAAGTCTCATAATTCACACAAAAATTAAATGGAGAATAATGGCAAAATTGGGTGGCGGCGAACGGAAGAATAGAATAAAACGGAAATGAATGCCTTAAAATTTAGCACTTTAATGTGTACACAGCTCATAATGGCCGAAAAACAAAATACAGCCCATACCATTAGCCCACTCTCAATAGCTTCACTTTATTATAATCCACTATGCTGCAAATAGAATTGGGACCAATGGTCTCAGAACTTTCTACTACTTGAGTATGAGAACATATTCTACGCCTATCTTAGCCAAAAGGCTGAGAAAGTTATCAAATGACGTAATTGACTCGTAATAACATGAAAACGTACCAACAATTCAATTCCAATCTAATTTGTAGACAGTTTCTTCTTTGCTTGCATCAGATAATCTTCCCTTTCATTGAGCCAGAGATCAGCAAATTCGCAATTCTTCCAAGTTTCAAACCACGGCCCTCCACGAGTATAATGGATAGCCTTGGGGAATGTATTTGGATCTTTCTCTACAACCTTATTATGACCCTCGAGAAAATTCCACACAAGTGGGATGGACCCAATCTCAGCATCCTCAAGCCATTGAAATCTATGAAGGAAAGCACCCGTCTGTGAGTTCACTGTGTCGGGAGCGAGGACACGGTTCTTGGGATGACCACAATTGTACAGCACCATGGAAGACCAATTCTTCCTTGGATACACGGTCTGAACAGCCCCGTCCATTTTTGTGGTCTCCTTTGGAGCATAGTCATGTTGAACACACATCACGGCATACTTATCATTGATCAGGTCCCTTAGTTCCTTAATATCTGCCAAGTACAGAAAATCGCAGTCCACAAACATTGCCCAGCCCTCATAACCGGCCAAGCACGGGGTCAGGAATCTGGAAAAGGAGAACTCGGTGCTCTCGAGCTGCCCTCTTTCACGCCAATACAAGCCCTTGCTCCTCAGATCGGACTGCTTGATGGGTACGATCTCCACAGGAATGGAAGACCTCTTGAGGATTGAGTGGCGACAGACCTGGTAGGCATCTTCTTCGCGAGGATCATAACCCACGAAGATCCTGAAGGGCTTCTGATCTGCGACTTCACCATTAGTTGAACTCATATTAGCAGATGATGAATGTCGCTCCTCCCTGTACAGATCGAGGCTTAAGAAATTAGTACAAACTAGGAACACCAAAAATAAATTGTCGTCTCTGCAAGGAACTATTCCCTGAGATCCCAGGTATTATAAGAAGCAAGAGAATAGGAAATGGGGAGTCAAAAAAAGTAATGCTAAATTCAAACCAGAAGCCCGATTGAGAATGCAGAGAGAAGCGGAACCAAAGAATTGAAAAGCAGAGAGCATGACCGTTGGAGCTAGGATTTAGATAATTGTGAGGTGAACAACGTGAATCTATATTATATACCCACATATCCCAGAACATAATAATTGCCAAAAATACAGCGGAAAGATCGCACTATAAACAGCGTCTAAATCCAATGGCAATGATCGGACCCGTTGATTTGCCGCCCCCGTTTTCCCAACTAGTCATCTTTTATAATCACTTAAAATTAAAATTCTTTTACTTAAGATTTAGACTTTTTCATTTAATTTATATAATATGGAGTCATTTGATTTAATTTTTTAAAATTACTATTATTTAATATTCTGGTTTAATAAATTTTAAAAATAAAAATATAAAAGTGTATTTAACTATTATAATTAGTTTTATTTAAAGTTCAAATTTTTAACACATCGGAAGGACTTTATTAATACTTTTTAAAAAAAATCCTTAAAAATAGAATTTCATTTTTGGAGGATTAAATAAATTTTTTAAAATTTATTTTCTCTAAATATTTATTTATCTAGACCCAAAATTAACCGAACGAATGTGGAACCTTGCACACAAATCCATATGCCCCCGGTGTGGGGTGGAAGAAAATAGTCACACGCTTGATCTGCTTGCATAGTTGAAAGGACAGATGCATGCACACATTTCCGTGTTTTCCACTCCAGCACGTTGCTATTTAATCCTCCGGTACGTTGCTTTCTCACTAGGACTTTCTCAACAGTATTTGTAAAAGTACTAATGACAATTGAAAATATCATAAAATAATTTTCATGAATTCACGAATGATACTCTTAAAAAATTTACCACCAACTTTTTAAAATTTATATTTCATTCACTATTTCAATAATTATTTATTTTTAATTATAAATAAAAATCATAATCCTTTTATGATATTTTCGATTGTCATTAGTACTTTTACAAAGTCTATAATTATTATTTTCTCAAAAAAACTTGGAAGAATTTCAATTAAGTACCAAAAATGTGACTTAATTATTAGTGAGTTTTAAAAAAAATTAAAACTTCAATTTATTTCAGGAATTGAAGTGAAAATAATTTCAATAGTAAAAAAATTAAAGTACCTTTCATTTATTATTTTTATTCAAAATGTAAAATTATTAATTGTTAATTTATTTACTTCACTTGTTAATTTGTTTACTTCACTTGTTAATTTATCAATATAAGTTATAAATTACATAACTTAACCTGTTTGTTCAATCACAAACAATAATGTCAGTTGTTAATTTACTAACTTTACTTATTAATTTATTAATATTAATTGTAAATTATTGACAAGTTTTATGATTTACAACTGATGTTAATAAACTAATAAGTAGAGTTAGTAAATTAACAATTGATATTGCTGCTTGTTTGACAAACTGATGTAACTTATAACTCATTGATAAATTCATAAGTGAATTTAAAAAATTAACAACTAATGATATGTATCTCAAGCAAAATTAACAAGTGAATAATACTTTAATTTTTTTAATGTTAAAGTTATGTTCACTTTAATCCTTTTGGAATGAATTGAAATTTCAATTTTTTTTAGAATTTACTAATAATTAAGTCAAATTCCTAGTCCTTAATTAAAATTCTCCTAAAGAAATTCATCTAGTACTTATTTACAAATCCTCCCCAATATCTCCGTGTCAGACAAAGAATTTTACAATTCATATTGCGCAGGTCCTTCAGGGGGACCGATTATTGGAGGGAATTTTGGGGGACCCATGAGAAATAACTCGAATTCAAAGAACTCATTTGTAATTAATTTTCTTGTCGACTCTTTGTAATTTTCCAATTTAAATTTGAACAATTTAGATCAATCAAGTTAGCTAAATCCATGAGTTTGATTCCTTTCAAAACGTGATTAGATTCCTTTCATCCATCGAAAATCGGGATAACCGATTCTTATCACTGTCAATATTATATCAATCAACTTATGCCAAAGAGTTAATCGATTGTTTCTTGACAAAAAATACAAAAAATACAAAACTTCAAGCACAACAAAAACGAATTGGAAAAAAATAACAATAATCTACACAAAATGGGACTAGCCTGACCACCACTCCACCAGGCACCAGATAATGCCCAAAAAAAAAAAAGGTGACAGTAACCATTGACATCTAATTTTGAACCGGTGGTGTTAATAGCGTATGTTACAATCATAGTGCTCTTTACACACTAGTTCATCTAGAGTTAACCACCTGTTTGATGTCAGTCACACCAAGGTCAGGGTACAGATTTCTTTCCAAGATAGCATTAGGTTTTCAAGTGCTTCAAGTGCTGGAAGTGACAAACTACTTTTGGAAACTAAGGTGTTTACGTCATCCATTAACCTAACTAGTGTATCCTTCTGAAAGCGTTGAGCATTTTCTTTCAATAGATTCAACCAAGATAGCTTAGAAAATGCCTGCATGTCTTTAGAGAGATCACTGGTGATACATCTAAGAGCCTCAACATGGTCATCCTTTTCAAGCTTCATACAGAATCTTTCCTTTATAAGAGTAGCTGGAATAATACGATCTGTTTGGATCAAGTGCTTCCACGTCGTTTCAATAGGCTCTTCCTGGCAAACATTCAAAGTTCTGAGTTAATGGAATGCTTAACGGGTTTCCACAAATCTAAAGCTTCTAACTAATGAAACAGAAAGGAAAAAAAGGTGAAAGTAATATGGCGTAGATTAAATATCTCCTGTCAATCAATATATTTAACGTCAAAAATTGTGACAAAATGGCCAGAGTTCCTCTTTGTTAGCAGCAAAAGCTGTTGTAGAATGAAAGTTTAGAAGTATGTCACGCAGGACCTATTCTGCAAAGAGTTCATCACCACAAAAGAACAGATACATTCTGAAACACATAGTATTGCTCCTCTTTGTTGGCTTACCAAGTAGGCCTGCTGAAAACACCTGATCTATTTTCAATTAACTCTTATCTATCAAGCACATACCCTCAACTACCCACATGACACAGCGTAAAATTCACTTTTCCGAGAATCATGAATGAACCACTCACCCACACACACAGAAAAAGCAGTTGAAAGGAAGATCACCTTTCCAGCTCTTGATGCCTCCAGTATCATTCGAAGATGACGTTTTGGATTGAAGTGGTAACCATGGTATAGCATCTTTTGATAAGCGTAGTCAAAATAATTCCATTTCTTCTCTACAATGCATGCATCTAACATGGTGTTGAATGTGTAAATATCTGGTATCACCACAACTTTGTAATCAGAATTTCTCCTCACATGATTCGTGTTTTCTGACATCTTCTCAAACAATTCTTTTGCTTCTTCAAACATCCCATATTCCAGGTAAGCTTTCAGCATTGTATTACAAGTAACAAGATTAGGGGAGCAAACATCCTTCATTTTTTCAAAAATGTATGCCCCATCTTGTATGTTTCCAGATTCCAGACATGCTTGAATTAAGCCGGTGTAAGTCACTACAAGTGGCTTGTTTGCAACCTTGCATATCTTCTCTATCTGTCATAGGATAAGCAACACCTTCTGTGATCAAGCCTTGTGGTGTAGATATATTATTTCTTACAAAAAATAAAATCCCACCAGTCAATAAATAACTGGCATTTCTCTCTATGGGGGAAAGAATCTTCAATACAGATTTGGTAGGTCCTGAAATTTGTACAGTGCAAGTGAGCAAAAAAATTGAGTTGTTAAAGGAGGCTTTTTGGTGCCAGGGCTATTTTTGCGATTTGAAACAGTGAGGTATCTGGCTTCAAAATTCAACCACACATAGTTTACCTTTCAGATCTTATTTGTTCTTTTGGAATCTACGACTTGACAAAGTGTTGGATAATCAAACAATAATGGATAGATTGAATTGGAATAGTTGAGAAGAGAAAAAAGTTTGCTTGTAAAAGTTGAAAAATATTCCTCTAGTCCTATTTATAAGTCACTTCCAACATGTTTCACCGAAACCAAAGAAAACCAAAAAAACTCATTAGATTTCTTAAAATTTAATAAATCCTCAAATTTGCCCCTTGTTAAATATACATACTTTAACAACATATTTTCTCCTCCAACATTCAATAGAAGGTAAGGGGGAATTTCTGTTGAAAATTTCATAAAGTGACTTGTAAATGAGACCAAAAAAAAAAAAAATCTGTTCTCTTTGCCTTATAAATAGGACTAGAGGAAGTATTTATCAATATGGCATCACTCTTGAGCAAAGGTAACTGAGCAATCTAAGAGCTAAAAGATATTGAGTTTTTTCTTTGATTTTGGCCCTCATCTACAAGTTTAATAAGAGGGGCCAAAATTTAAACATCTTGAATCTGACTATTTTCCACTAGCCAAAACATCCTGACTTCTCTCCTATTAGACCCCCTCCCTCCCTCTCTCTCTCTCTCTCTCTCTGCGCTTTAGGTTTTTCCTCAGATTTTAACATATGGAAGTCTTTTTCCACCCAACTCCGCCTATGTTTATAGCCAATCCCAAGCCCGGGTAAAGGAGGAGGGTTGTGTTAGGCCATCAACAGCCAATGTAAAACTTTGTTGAATCTATCATGAACATGGACAATAGACGTTATAATGTTAATGCTAGGTCGTTGCCCGTAAGTAACGCGCTGCATGGCTCGAGTACAGTGATAAGTGAGTTAGAGCCGCTGCATCGGCGCCCAGATGTAGTGTTAAATGAGCAAGGGCTACCGCGTCATTCTGGACGCACGCGGCTAAAGAAGTTATTCCATAAGAGCAAAATTAGATTTGGTACTTGGAATGTTGGGACATTAAATTGTAAATCTTTAGAGGTTGTAGGGGTTATGATTCAAAGGAAAATCAATATCCTTTGCCTGCAAGAAACAAAATGGCGTGGAGAAGAAGCTAAGGATATTCAAGGTTTCAAACTTTGGTATACAGGAAAAGTAAGTGCACGCAATGGAGTAGGCATCATTATAGATAAGGAGTGGAAGAAGAACGTTGTAGAAGTTAGCAGAATCGGAGACAGAATTATTTCCTTAAAAATGATAATTGGACGTGAGACTGTTAATATTATTAGCGCTTATGCGCCGCAAGTCGGGACAGAAGCCAGTCTTAAGGAATTATTTTGGGAGGATCTAGAGGGGTTGATTCGACATATACCACAGAGTGAAAAGATTTTTATTGGAGGAGACTTTAATGGGCATGTTGGGAGGGAAGCTGGTCAGTATGCGAGGGTGCATGGTGGTTTTGGTTTTGGAGAGCTAAACAATAAAGGACAAACTCTTCTTGATTTCTCATTGGCGTATGATTTTAAGATTGCCAACACTTGTTTCAAGAAGAGAGATGAGCATCTCATCACTTACAAAAGTAGAGCCTTAAGGTCACAGATTGATTTTCTTTTGGTTAGGAACACAGATAGAAGACTTTGTAAAAATTGTAAGGTGATCCCCGGAGATGCTGTTACGACAACAACATAGGGTCCTAGTCCTTGATGTGTGTATTATGAGTAAAATTCAAAAACATCGATAAGTAGTAACACCAAGGATTAGGTGGTGGCAATTAAAAGGTGAGAAGCAAGATATTTTCAAGCGAAATCTTTTGGATAAAGGAATTTGGGAATCTCAGGGAAGTGCTAACATCATATGGGAGGATATGGCTAAAAAGATACGGGAGGTTGCAAAAGTAGTTTTGGGAGAATCGAAAGGTTCTGGTCCGAGAGATAAGGAGTCTTGGTGGTGGAATAATAGTGTACAGGACAAAATCAAGTATAAGAAGAACTGTTTTAAAGCCATACATTTGTGTAACAATGAGGAAAATTGGGAGAGGTACCGTATGGCTAAGAAGGAAACTAAGAGAGCTGTGGGTGAAGCTCGTTCTAAAGCTTTTGAAGAATTTTATAAGAACCTTGAGACGAAGGAAGGAGAGCAAAATATTTATAAGATTGCCAAGAGTAGGGAAAGAAAATCAAGAGATCTAGAACAGGTAAGGTGTATTAAGGATGAAGAGGGAAGAATTTTAGTTACAGATGATGAAATTAAAAATAGATGGGAGACTTACTTTTCTAAACTTTTCAATGATGGAGAGGATTCATCTAATAACTTGAGGATTTAGTAACTGGTGAAGGAGAACAAAATTTGTCATTCTATCGAATAATACGTGATAAGGAGGTAAAGGAAGCTCTTAAGAAAATGGCAAATGGTAGAGCCAAGGACCTGATTGTATATCTATCAAAGCGTGGAAATGTTTAGGTGAAGAAGGGGTGAGATGGTTAACTAAGTTATTTAATGTGATTTTACAGTCCAAGAAAATGCCTGATGAGTGGAAGAGTACATTAATTCCTATTTATAAAAATAAAGGAGATATTCAGAATTGTACTAACTATAGAGGGATTAAACTCATGAGCCACACAATGAAATTGTGGGAGAAAGTAATTGAGCACAGGTTGAGATTGGAGACAAGTATTTCTGAGAATCAATTTGGTTTTATGCCAGGTAGATCAACTACAGAGGCGATTTATCTACTAAGGGGATTAATGGAAAAGTATCGTTGTAAAGATAAAGATCTACACATGGTTTTTATTGATTTGGAAAAAGCTTATGACCGTATACCAAGAGAAGTACTTTGGAAAGCGTTGGAAAAAAAGGGAGTACGGATTGCTTATATTAAAGCCATACAAGATATGTATGAGGGGGTAAAAACTAGTATAAGAACACCTAGTGGTCAAACAAAGGATTTTCCTATAAAGATTGGACTACATCAGAGATCATCTCTGAGTCCTTATTTGTTCAACTTGATTTTAAATGTTTTGACGGAACATATTCAAGAAGAAATCCCGAAATGTATGCTTTTCGCGGATGATATAGTTCTTATAGCAGAGACAAGAGAAGAGGTTAATTGTAAACTTGAATTATGGAGGAGGACATTGGAGTCGAAAGGTTTTCGTCTGAGTAGAAGTAAGACGGAATATTTATATTGTAAATTTGGTAAAGGAATATTCGACAATAATTTGGAAGTGAAATTGGGAGATCAAATTATACCTCAAGTGGAAAAGTTTAGATATTTGGGAGCCATTATTCAAAATGATGGCGAAATCAGTGGAGATATTTCACATAGAATTCAAGCTGGGTGGTTTAATTGGAGAAAAGCTAAAGGAGTTATTTGTGACCGTAAGGTGCCTAATAAACTTAAAGGAAAGTTTTATCGCACTGCTATCAGACCGGCAATGTTATATAGTAGTGAATGCTGGGCTCTAACGGGACAGCAAGAGCATAAAGTTGGAGTAGCAGAGATGAGAATGTTACGATGGATGTGCGGACATACACGTAAAGATAAAATTCGAAATGAGTACGTACGCGAAAAAGTGAGGGTGGCACCTATTGAGGAAAAAATGGTAGAAAATCGGTTGAGATGGTTTGGGCATGTACAAAGAAGACCAAGAGAGGCACCAGTCAGAAGAATGGAACATATAACTTTGAGTCCGATTAAGAGAGATAGAGGAAGGCCTAAGAGAACACTCTTGGAAGTTGTTGAACGCGATCTCTTAATTAATAATATTCCTAAAAGTTTGATAAATGATAGAGCACAATGGCGTCTTGCAATCCATGTAGCCGACCCCACCTAGTGGGATAAAGGCTTGTTGTTGTTGTTGTTGTTGAAGTCTTTTTCCACCCAGGCGGTGCAAGTATCTGCATGCATCATATCCCCCAAATGCACTCATAATTTCAAAGACAAGCATGATCTTCAAAGAACCAGAAAAAACTTCAGCCCCTCCCAACTTCAACAACACCAACACCCCAAAAAAAAAAAATAATAATAATAATAAATAAATAAAAAAGAACTCTAAAAGCGTAACTGAGGAACACCACCTGCATCAGTGCCTCACCACACCTTCCAGCTGCACAAAGACATCGAGCAAGGTCATAATAAAGAGAAGCAGAACCTACAACTCCTCGTCTTTCCATATCTTGCACTGCCAATATAGCCTCATCAGTTTTGCCCTCTTTCCATAGTGTATTCACAAGAACTGGATGTAACATCATGGTCAACATCAAAATCATCTCAAAATTACATGATTTCACTTTTACATGAAAAAATACATGACCGTACCTCTATATGTCAATGCATTGGGAATAGAAAACTTCTGAACTTTCATGAAAAATTCATGAACTAGATCGTACTTGCCACATGTAAACATCACCTGCTCAAGCATACACAAATTGAAAAGTAAAACTTTATTATCAATGACAGCCAAGCTGACGTTCACACATGCAATTGCATTGTAGCTAGTAAAAGCATAGCATTAGCTACAGGTTTCTTTAATTTCAAATTTTCTGACAAAATGAGTCTGCTTTCACTGAATATTTTAACAGTTGGGAAATGTGAAGTAGACCCAAGAAAGGACCAGGGCCAGTGGCAAAGTGGTAATGGCATTTCCATCAATTTCCTCTAATAAATAGTGCTGAAGGTCAAACATGGTATTTGTCAGACCGGCCATGATGATAACATTAGGACCAATGATGCTAGCCTATTGAAATTAACTCTCATGTATATCGTCTCTTTTGTCCTCTACTTCCTCTCATGTTTGGAAGGTTCTAATTTTAGCCTTTGTACGGAATCAGTTGGTCTTGCACCGTCCGTGTCTTGGCTGCAGGGGTTATCAAGTGTTTCCTTCCACATGATGATAAGTTTTTTATTATGTATTTTATTTATACTTGTTATATATGTCAGCTAATTAGAGTAGAATAAGTAAACTCGATTTAGCTTAATTTCTAGTATTATAGGATTATAGAGGTCAAAACTCTCTTGGTCTATGCTTTTATATTTTACAATAACAACAAGCCTCATCCTACTAGGTGAGATTGGTTACGTGGATTATACGACGCCATTATAATCTATCATATACCAAGCTTTTAAAAATATTGTTAACTAAGAGATCTCACTCAACAACTTCCAAAATTATTCTCTTTAGCCGTCCTCCACCTCTTTTAATAAAGCTCAAAATTATCCATTCCACTCTCTTCACTGGTGTGTCCTGTAGTCTTCTTTATACATGTTCAAACCATTTGAAATGATTTTCCACTATTTTTCCCTCAATAGGTGCTATGCACACTTTTTCACATATGTGCTCAGTTCGGATTTTATTTTTACGTATATGTTTGCACATCTATCTTAACATTCTCATCTCTGCCACTCCAACTTTATACTCTTCCTATCCCATTAAAGCCGAATATTCACTACCATATAACATAGCTGGTCTTATTGCAGTTCGATAAAACTTTCTTTTAAGTTTATTAGGTACTTTATAATCGCAAATAACTCTTTTAGCCTTTCTTCAATTAAACCAACTAGCTTGTATCCTATGTGCAATATCCCCTTCAATTTCCCTATCATGTTGCATAATAACTCCCAAATATCTAAACTTCTTCACTTAAGACATAATCTGATCTCCCAGTTTCACTTCTAAATTACTACTGATTGACCTCTTATCAAAATTGCAATGCAAATATTTTGTGTTACTTCTACTCAGGCAAAAACCTTTTGACTCTAATGTTCTCCATAATTCAAGTTTACAATTAATCTTTTCTCATCTTTGTGATAAGAACTATATCATCCGCAAAAAGCATGCATTTAGAAATTTTCCGATTGAACATGCTTAGTCAAACATCTAGGACCAGGTCTTACTCCTATGCCTTTATAGATGTCACACTTTTTTCTTCAATAAAGAAGCACACATTATAAACAAAAAGGGTCTCTAAATTTCCATGGTTTGCTTCATGGCATCAAAGTCCTAAGGGAACAAAATTCTCCAATGCCAAAGGCCAACATTGCAGACTCTTCATCAGCATCTCTCCATCAAATGCATAACCAAAAAGCTTCAACTATCTTTCATCCTTCTCCATGGCTGCCAAAAACTGTCCTGTAATGACCAAAGGTCACAAATTAAATGAAAGTAAGTAAAATAACTACTTGCCATAGCTTCAGAGTGCTATAGTTTTCACCCAGAGGCTGTGAAAAAGATTATATCAAGGGTGACAACATCCAACCAAAAATGTCAGATTCTTAATACAAGATATGACTCGCAGATTTTATGTGAATTAGTGACGAGAGAGATTGAGGAGATATTTGTGCAATGCAAAATAGCCAAGGAGATATTGGAAGGTGTGAAGGAATCCCATGTATCTCATCATATTAGGGGAAACATTCATGATGTAAGATGAGAATTTGAGTTTTACCTAAAACTTAACAATCTTGTGAAGTTGTGACACAAGCTGAACTTGTATGAAGTTCATCAGTGGATGTCTAATGTTGATGTATCCTGTGGGAAATATCAAAATTTAATGAGTTTGATTTTAATCACTGATTACTAGCTTGTGACCATTGCAAATTGGAGTCATTACTTCCCCTGATATGTTGGCTTAGATTAGGCCATTATATTTCTAATTCTTTGATTCCCTTCTTGTATATATAGAGCATCTCAGCTAAATAAGATAGTTCATCTTCGAATCTCTACTCACATGGTATCAGAGCAAGAGGGAGAGATCAAGATTTTTCAATCCTCTAAAGAAGAGATAGAGCAGGCAGCAACGTCGCACGATGACCCAACACGGTCCACCACTGAAACTGAAGCCTATCATCGACCACGATCCCATACTGAAATGGAGAGCTCAAATCGACGTCAGGGAGGAGGAATAGGCACAATACCACTTCTGGAAGGGTCCACTGTCCTCATCATCCTAGAGAAGCAGAGAAGCTCACCAGTGATAACTACAAAGAGTGGGCCTAAACAATTCGACTTGCCATTGAAGGACATGAACATCTCGGATTTCTAACAGGTGAGACTAAAAAACCTGACAAGTTGAACACTAAAGGGGTGCACACTTGGAAATCTGAAAATTCTATGGTTGCATCGTGGCTTGTAAATGCTATGATGCCAACCATAAGGAGGATTTTTATGTATTTACCTACTGCCCATGAAATTTGGGAGGCTGTTCGTGAGGCATACTCGGATGGTGAAAATGTCTCACAAATTTTTGAGAAAAAAACCAAGCTATGGAATATGAAGTAAGGGGCCCAAAGTCTTAATCACTATTATCTTGAAATGACTACACTTTGGCACAAGCTAGATTTGAACAATGAGATGACATGGAAGAATGCCAATGATGTTGCCCAATACAAACAACATGTAGATAAGGAACACCTGTTTGAATTTCTTGTTGGACTTAATGCAAATCTTGACGCCATTCAAGGAAGAATTCTCAACTGTGCACCACTTCCATCAATTTGAGAAGCTTTTGCTGAAGTCAAATGTGAAGATTCTCGACAACGGGTAATGCTTAAAAATAATAATTGTATATCTAATACTGCGCCAGAACCTTCTGCTCTTACCTCTAAAAATGTGGATTCAAGGAATCAAAAGAACAAACTTGTTTGCGAGTGTTGCAAGAAGATAGGTCACACTAAAGAAACTTGTTGAGATATTCATGGCAAACCTCCAGATTGGAAACCAAAAAGGCCAAGGGGATGTGGTTACCATGTCGGTTCAGAAAAACTTGATGAGGTAAACCCCACATCTCATGCATTCTCGTCTGAACAGTTCACCAAATTTATGAGTTTCTTAAACAAACTCCAAATGCTGAGTTCATCCCAACAACCAACAGCAACTGTCGTAGGTAATTTCTCATAAGCTTTGAGTACCATTCAACATTTTGATCATCCAAACTTTTAGTATTTGAGTCAAATGTTTCCTTCTCTTTGTTCCAATAAAGATGTTCCAAGTTTTACTGTGATGTTTGTGAACTTGCAAAGCACCAAAGGACTACGTTTTCTTGTAATATTTATCAACCATCCCAACCTTTCACTACTATCCATAGTGATATTTGGGGAACTAGCCATATTTCAAATAGAACCAATCAAAAATGGTTCACAACATTTATTGATGATCACACTCAAGTTTGCTAGACCTATCTCCTTAAAGAGAAAACTGAAGTTGTCTCAATATATGTGAATTTCTACCATATGATTCAAACCCAGTTCCAAACAGCCATAAAAATTATTCACACTAATAATGGCATAGAGTTCATTAATAGTGCTCTCAGCACTTTCCTTCAAAAAAATGGTATTGTTCATAAAAGTACATTTGTTCATAGCCCTCAACAAAATGGGGTAGCTGAAAGAAAAAATCACCACATCTTGGACGTTGCCAGAGCCCTTTTGCTCACCCATAATGTGCCAAAATTTTATTGGGGTGATGCTATTCTTACTGCCACCCATCTCATCAATAGAATACCTAGCCACATACTATCATTCAAAGCTCCTCTTGATGTTCTCCATAGCACCCACTCTAACCTTCACCTTGAAAACCACCTTCCTTTACAAGTTTTTGGGTGTGCTGCCTTTGTTCAACATTTATCACAGTAACAAACTTGATCCTTGTGCTATCAAATGTATCTTCATTGGCTGTTCCGCCTCTCAAAAAGGCTACAAATGCTATGATCCTACTTCTAAAAAGATCTTTGTCAGTTGTGATGTCACATTTCATGAGGAAGAATCTTTTTATCCCAAGCCTCCAACTCAGGGGGAGAATATGACTGAATTGGAGTCTATGGAAGATGCTGTGTTGTCCTCTTTTGAACCTAACCCTAAACCTATAGAACCTGTACCTTATGAACCCCCATTTGAACTTCCCTTTGAGTCTATGACTAAGTCTAACCTAGAGAGTATAACTTCTGAGAATGAACCTAGAGAGTACCAGAAACCAACCACTAAAAAATACTGTGTTCGGAGAAAAGCATCAACGAATAAGACGCAAATTCCTGACACACCATGAATCTGAACCTACGACAGCTCCTGAGAAACTTGAAGAGGAGATTACAATTATGATGATCAACCAGTATTAAGGAAAAAGCCAAGATGCTGCACTAAACACCCAATAAAAAGGTTTGTATCCTACCAAGCCCTGTCACCACATTATTTGGCTTTCACAACTAACTTGGACAGTATAAAATACCAACATGCATTGAAGAGGCTCTAAAGTCACCAAAATGGAAAAAGGCTGTCATAGAAGAAATGAATGCTCTCAAATTGAATAATACTTGGGACGAGGCCAAACTACCAAAAGGAAAAAGGGTACAAGGGTGTAAGTTGGTGTTCACCGTGAAATATGAAGCAAATCGTACTATTGAAAAATTCAAGGCTCATCTTGTTGCAAAGGTTTCTCTCAAATCTATGGAATAGATTATACAGAAACGTTTGCACCAATAGCCAAACTCAATACTATGAGAATTTTGATGTCTTTGGTTGCTAATATCGACTAGCCCTTTTATCAAATAAATGTGAAAAATGCCTTTCTCAATGGCGATTCGAAAGAGGAGGTATATATGACATATCCACCTAGGTTCCCCAGTCAAAGGCGAAATATGGTTTGCAAACTAAAGAAGTCTCTATATAGATTGAAACAGTCACCCCGTGCTTGGTTTAAAAGGTTCACTCAAGTCCTTAAAAGAGAAGGGTTCATCCAAGGCCAAAGTGATCATACTTTATTCTTCAAGCACAAGGAAACAAGAAGAACCATCCTGAGTATGTATGTGGATGATATCATTCTTACAAGAGATGATCAAGAAGAAATGGAAAAAATAAAGTAGTCATTGGCTAAAGCTTTCCAAGAAAAGATCTAGGAGAAATGAAATACTTCTTGGATATGGAAGTAGCACGATCCAAGAAAGGGATTTATATATCCCAAAAGAAGAATGTTCTTGATCTCCTAAAGGAAATAGAATGATGGGATGCAAACCTAGCATGACTCCCATAGATGTAACAACCAAGAAGAAGGATAAAAGGAAGATAGAAAACAAAAACAAGGATGGAGATGATAGAGAAGAAGAGGAAGAAGAAGAAGCAGAAAACAAAGGAAAAGATGTTGATAAAGGGAGATACCAAAGACTAGTTGGGAAACTTATTTGCCTTTCCCATACTAAACCAGACATTGCTTTTGCAATTAGTGTCGCAAGTCAACATTTGCATAATCCAAGGAGAAACATCTTGAAGCAGTCTATAAGATCATACGGTACCTAAAGGGCACGCCAGGAAAAGGAACACTATACAAAAAGACAGAAAGGAAGACTGTAGAAATATTTACTGATGCAGACTGGGCTAAAGCATATGGTGATAGAAGATCTTCATTAGGCTATTGTACATATGTATGGGGGAACCTAGTATCTTAGAGGAGTAAAAGAACAAAATGTGGTTGCAAGAAGCCGTGCTAAGGCAGAATTTAGAGCAGTGGCACATGGCATATTTGAAGTAATCTAGGTAAAGAAGGCATTAAAGGAGCCAAAGATTGAGCTACAATTTCCAATGAGACTATACACACATAGCAAGGCTACTATAAATATCTCACACAATCCAGTTCAACATGATAGGACAAAACATGTGGAGGTGGATAGACACTTCATTAAAGAGAAGATCGAAGGTGGTCTTGTATCACTCATACATGTGCCCACATGGAATCAAATGGCTGATATTTTTACCAAGGGTCTTTACAAAGAAGTGGCAAGTCGGATATGGTTGATATGTACCATCCAACTTGAAGGGGAGTGTGGGAAATATCGAAATTTAATGAATTTGATTTTAATCCCTGATTATTAGCCTGTGACCACTGCAAATCAGAGTCATTACTTCCCCTAATATGTTGGGTTTGATTAGGTGATTATATTTCTAACTCTTTGATTCCCTTCTTGCATATATAGAGCATATCTCAGCTGAATAAGATAGTTCATTTTTTTGAATCCCCACTCACATATCCTACTATCAAAAGTTAGTAAAGAAGGGAAAGAATTTACCACCTTCTGTTGGGACTTAATCCCATCTTTGAAGAGTAAAAGGGGAGTATTATGTCCGCATAACTCACTCTTTCACTTCGAGAGGCGTTCCATGAAATCAACCATGACTAATTCTTCTGCTATGGTCACTAGACACACTGCTCCTGAGCTCAAGGAAAAAAGGTTGGAATATGTAGCGTAATCACCATAATAAGACAAGTCATATCAAGGGCATATGCAAAAGTTTCATAGAATCCAAATAATAGGAAGTCAAGTCAACAAAGGGAGACACATGGCTTATGGTGGCTAGTGAGGAGCAAACTCAAGGCCAAGTGGAGCCTAATTCATTTATTGAGATAAAGGAACAATTGGTTCCATTGTAAAAGAAATAAAAATATCAGGGGAATAACAAATAAGGACCTCATAAAAACATTAATGTCAAGTTAGGGTATATTCACAACTAAAGTTCCAAAATTCAGCACTTCTCTCCCCATATTTCAGTACTAAGATCTTTAAAAAAATCTTGATTTGGCATTAGTATTCTCATGAGGTCCTTTCTTGTCATTCCCCCAAGAATGACTACTCATCAAGGCCAAATTTCAGGAAAAGTCATTGGCATAGGTGTTATCGCCTACACATGTAATCCTTTCATGACTCGACTTAAAAAATCAATATCTGGATGCTCAACTCAGGTGCAACAAACCATATGACTATATCGTATTTCCAATCTTCATACATGTGTTTGAAGTTTTTTTTAGTGAAGATTGCTAATGGACCGTCAACTGAAGTTAGTGACTGAGGTGGTGAGAATTTCAAAAAATTTCATCTTAAAGGATATGTAGCAAAGTATAATGCAATCTATTGAAGAAACAAAGTAGCAAACAAACAAGCAATAAAAAGCAATGGTAATCTTCCCATTTAAAGGAATAAAATCCATTTGATAAAATTAAAAGATTTTCATATCAAAAGCCCTATTTGACTTCACAATTCAAATCCCTAAACAATACTGATTTTCAAATAAAGAATATTATGAGTAAATTACATAAGCCTACCCTCAATTTTGCTGAAGTTTTTCAAACCCTCACTTTATTTTCAAGACATACACAAATCTCCTTGACACGTTAGGATATTCAACAAGGATAAGGCACTGCATACTACCTCAGTCTATATCAATCACCCTCCTTGTAGAGTTGTCGTCCCAACAACTACATTCCAAGACACTTCACTTGGTTTCCTCACTGATCAGAATAGTCAACAGGTCAAAACCCACTACTTGCAGCCATTTTTGGAATCACTAACTGCAAAGTTTGATGTTCTTTAATCTGCACCGGAGTGGAGTGACAAGCCTTTCCCCAAAAGCTAGTTATTGGGGCTATAAAACCAACCCATTTAAGAACCCCATAGTGAATTCCTTATTACTCAATGTGAGGTTTTGGCATCCCATGCTACCTTAGTCTACATCATTACCCTACACTATAATCTAATTTTTAAATTTCATGATCAAAATACTCTCTATTTTTTTTTTCAGTTTGTATAATATGAACCAAAACCTATGCATGCGGGAAGCATTTTAGTCGAAAAATTTAATTTGGACTTGAGATCCGAGTAACTTTCTATTTCAGGGAAAGCTTGTGATTTAAGACTGTTTGGCATGCACAACGGAATGGAGAATAAAATGCCAAAAAAAAAAAACATTTTAGATGAAAAATGACTTTGATGCCCTTACTCAAAACTATTTCAAACAGAAAGAAATTGTTGAATAATTATACGGTAATAATAGACATTGCACAATGTTGTCCCATTCCTGTTGCGTTACCTTCAGTGTAACAAACAGAGCCTTACTCTGATATAAATGCAAATGAAATACTACCAGTGCATTCGTGACTTATTCTAAGAGTCCAGAATTTAACAGCCACTTTTTTTCTTTTTTTTTTTTTTTTTTTTTTTTTTTTTTGCATTGAGAAGTGGCTTAGCATCTTTGGAACAGGCTCTTACTTTGTCTCAAGTTTTGGGCTTGCCCAACTACCTTGAGGACTTCATTATAAGTCACTATCAAGTTATAGGCAGCAATAAAGAAATGTCTAGAGGAGTTGTGAACTGGCATAGTTCTTGGCAAAAGTATGATGAAAGAGTTTTTAAACCATGCTTCCGGCTATCCATTTGGGTCAGACTTTTGTTCTTTGCTGTTATAGTTTTTCCCACCTTTTTTGTCATTCGTCCCCTGCTACGGCTTTTGCTAAATGCTTCATCCATCCTCCTTGGATTATCTCCCTAAATAATCTACTTTATAATTTATTTATCACAAAATTGAAAATTAAAATTCCAAATTTCACTTTACAAATTGATTACCAAGAAATGGGACGTTTGTACAATAATATGAAACATTAAGAAACTGGAGGCTACTACTATTACCTCCATGACAAGGCCAGAAGTTGTAGTAGAAGGTTGTTGACGTTGCTTCTTTAACTGCTGTAAAACCCAGAAAGCCCCTTCCCACTGTTTCTGCTGAACACAAGCGTTGAGGACCTGCATGCTCAATTGATACATGGAAATACTAAATCAAATCCAAATTAATTAAAAATAAATAAATTTATACAACAGAACATCACTTACCAAAGGATGTTAATTAAGCACAAGATTATAGGAAAAAAATAACTATTAGCATAGTAAAATCCACTCCAACTAGTGTAATCAAAACTCAATCAAAAAACTCACAAAAGAAAAGAGCATGCACCTATGATGTGTGGAAATGCAAGCATGATGCTTTTTTTCACGAACATCCATTTAAAGAAGCCATCTATTTTTCAAAATGCAACATAGAGTACAAAGTAAACCACAGTGACTCAGCAAGCTAGAAGCTACTTCAAGCAAGATAAAGTCAGAAAACTATTTCAGTTCAGCATTTTATTTGAGAAACTCCTTAACTAAGCAAAAAGTAGTGTACTATAGAGAATATAATTGAGACAGCGCATGAAAAATGGTTCCACATGTTCTGCATATCTATCCTCTCTTCAGCTAATTAAAAAAAAAAAAAAATCAAACTGTATCACGTGAATTTAATCATCCGGATAATCTAGAACTTGATAGGCCAAATAGTCAAGTAGACTGAGTCTACACCAGAAGAAAGACCAAGGATCCATCTATAAAGAGATGGGGAAAGGTGCATACAAGAAGAGCTAGGGATGGGAAAGGAGGTAATTCCAAAATTGGTCACTAAGCTGGCACATCTAACTTTTGTCTGTTAGTGGGTGTATGGGTGTCTGAAAGGAGTAGGTGGGTGTTTTAAAGGTTGTCTTGTTGCACAGTGGTTCGAAGGGTGGGGGGAAGGCAAGGATTTTGGTATTGTTGAGAGACCCTGACCTCTCAAAACACACAGAAGTTCTCTCACTTGCTTTGCTCTATCTCTTTGCTTTTATTTGCTCAAAATTTCTCTAATTTTCCAGTGTGATTAGCAGCTGTAATAGGGAGAAATTGCTAGTAATACACTGATTTTCCTCTTCCATTCCCGTTGATGAGGAGTAACTCTTCCTATATAATCAAATATATAAAAGCTACACTATGTTCTCTATCTAATTGGCAGAAGAAGAGAATGAACAGATTGAAGAAAAGAAAGAGACCTTAGATAAACTCAAGTCCCATTTGGAGCAAGCACAGCAGCATATGAAAGAGCGAGCTGAGAAGAAGAGGAGGGAGGATGAGTTTGAAGTGGGAGACATGGTTTATCTCAAATTTTAGCCTCACAAACTGAAGATATTGGCTTAAAAGATCAATGAGAAGATCTTCCCTCAATTTTGAGGATTTTTTTCTAAAATTATTACCGATGAAACCAAGCAAATTACATATGGCGCCCGTAAATCACACTTCTCTCTGACCAACTGAAAAGAATCCATGCACCATATAGCTGGTTCTTTTACGGACCTTTCAAAGTGCTGGAAAGCATGGGAATGTGACCTACAAACTGGAGTTACCTGCAACAGCCCAAATTCACCCCACCTATCGTGTGTCCCAGTTCAAAGGGGGGAAAAAAAATCCATTCTTCCCTAAATTAGAGCCCAACAACTCCCTTCATTCCTATCCAAGGAGCAGGAACTGCAAGTTCAGCCAGAGTTTCAAAAGAGTGTAAAGATTGGCAGACAGCAGAACTCAAGCTCTCATTATATGGAAGAATCTTCCTGATTGTTATAGCACTTGAGAGAATACAGAAGTTACAGTAAATCAATTTCCTGAATTTCACCCTGACACTTGAGGACAAGGTGAGACTGGCAGGAGGGGGAGATGATGGGCCCAATAGTCTATTGGGCCAAGTCTACACTAGAGGATAGAACAAAGACCCATCTGTTAAGAGGTGTAGAAATGTGTACACTAGGAGATGAGCAAGGAGGGGAAGGAGGTGGTCCCAAAAGTGGTCACCAAGCTGGTGCATCTGTATTTTGTTTGTGGTGGTACGAGTGTCTACATGGAGTGAGTGGGTCTGTGAGTGTCTACATGGAGTGAGTGGACGTTTACGGGCTATACTTTTGCAGAGGCAATGCAGGCAAGGATTTTAGTGTAGTCAGGAGATACCTGACCTCTTGAAAGTTGAAACTCAAGGGAGTTCTGTCGTTTGCTTTGCTTGCTCTACCTCTCTGCTTTTATCTACTAATATATAAATTCTATAGGAAGCCAAGTTGTGTGGGCTCGTGAATGTTTTTTGTAATGCACGATTTAGCTGTTTGTGCTAATAAGTGATTGAGATGTATGAATTTGAATTATTTGAAGTCAAATGGTACAGCATTTGTCTATCTCAAATGTCTAATTCCGTTCTTCATTCAAATTTCTCAAAATTTCTTTAGTTTTCAAGAGTGATTAGCTGCTGTAGTAAGGGGATTGCTTGTGATATATGATTTTCCTCTTGCATTTCCCATTGAAGAGGTGTAATTCTTCCTGTATAATCAAATATATCCAAGTTTCTATCAAAACTTCAACTTATAATCTCAAGAAATTAAAAGGCTGCACCAAAGTCCATCTAATTCACTGTGAGAAAAACCTTCAAAGAATTTAAAGAAAACTGCCGTCTCTTGCACAAATTATTCACCAACTAAAACTTACGGCATTATAAACTACGACATCTGGTTCCAGCCTAGGGTCCCAGTTCCCAAGTGCCCCTACTTTGAACTTCTTCTTAGGTGGCAACCGCATGATGTCAATCACATCAAAGAGTTCCTTCATGTGCCCTGCTTGTCCAAGAGTGACAGCAATACTACGGTAAGCTACCAAATCAGGGTATGTGGACAATTGTTGCTGGAAAAAAAAAAAAACAAGAGAGGAAAGTGAGTTAGGAAAGTAATGCAAACTCCATATTCTAACCTCAATATCAGAAAACACATTTCCCAACAAAAGAGCATGATGCATGAACCACGTGCATTACCAGCATCGCGTGAAATACATTTAGTGCCTCTATGGGTCTCCTTGCCTTTCCAAGTGCATCAAGAGCAGCAGTGTATATATGCCTGGCGTTGAAGATCCACACATCAAAGGATACTCAGAGCAAATAATGCCAGGGACTGGCCAAAAATAAAACTTCACAGCTTTCAAATTCCCTTTCCATATACAGGCAACAAATTTTGTTGCAGAGAAATCAAAGTCAAATGCATGAAGGATGAAAACATGTACCTCTAGTAACAAGAAGAAAAAGAAAAAGGGAACACATAAAAACAAAGTGCAATGCCGTAAATATTCCAGTTTAGTCTGGAAGTATGACTGCCCTTACAAATGAACCATCTGTAACAGAGGTTTTCACCTGCTACTAATACAAATTAAACTGGGGTTTTCATACAAACATAGTTATATGCCAGATAATACATCACACAATGTTAACTAAACGTCAGGCACAAGACCTATTGATTTAGAGAAGGATACAAGTACCTTAGCTTGTGGGATTTGAAACGCTCACGCCTTTGAAGCCATTCAATGACCTGTATCACCCGCTGCCAGTTTCCTAGTTTTCCCAATCTTTGGATAACCCTCACAATAGAATAATCATTAAATTTTATCTTTGCACTTCTCATCATCTTAGAAAAGATCCATTCAGGCATATTTATATCAGCACCATTCAACCTGTTTGGGAAAATTATCCAAGGGGACGGAAAAAGACAATTTAGTATGATTGAAATAACAAAAAACCCTTGAACCATACATGTATCAAGTATGAAAGAGCATAAAACGAAAGAAAAAGATGAATGCATCACATGAAAAAAAATCCTCCAGGTATCAATTACAGTGATGGAAGCAAGCCAATGTCCACTCCAGAAATGTAAGAAGGAAATAATAAATACAAAATCACAGAAGTTCATCCTTAGGAGACGAGTTTTACTCCTAATTTAATTTCTATGCCGAAAATACTTCAGTGGCCATTGAGACATCCAACTTGTGATCGTCAATGCTATTTGTATCATACTTTTATGCCTTTTTCTTTCCTTTCGGCAGTAAAGGCTTCTACAGGTTCCCCATGCACACTGCTTCAATTTCTTAGCTAATGAATCAAAATAATAATGCGATAAAAATCAAGAACACATTAAACTTCTGAGTAAATATTTTCTATTTTCACGTATTCCATGAGCAAAGAAGGAGGAAATGACTCCGTACGAATTTGCTAGCCTTTGGATTCTATCCTCCGTTTCCTTGTGCGAAACCTGTGGCTTGTTGACAACACCATTCAACTCTTCAAAAGTCTTAAATGCTGCTCTTTCCACCTCCAAGTTGTCATAACCATAACATCTAATGCTTCCATTCAAGTTGAGATTTTCCCACCCATTTTCTTTCCCCACGTTCTCATTTTTTGTGCAGATTTTCTCACGTCCATTGTGAATGCCGTTGTTGCTAACAACAGTTTTGTTTATCATAGGCATTTTCCCTTTTGAGTTGCAGCATATTTGGCGGGTTGTAACATCCTTTTCTCCTACCATCTTTAAAGATTGTACTTCGTGGCCGACTTCCACCTCTATGGTGTTGCCACAGTTGCTGTTCCGATTAAGTGAAGCTTTGCTATTGCCTGTCCTTCTACGTTCCCTTTTAAACAAACTGCCATCAGAATCTGGTTTTGATCTATTAATCCGGCATTCCAACCACCTGTCTTCTATTACCTCTGCCTCCTTTTTCTGCTTCACAGCACTATCAAGCTTGCTTTCTTCCCCGTCATACTCAGGTTCACGTCTTTTAGCCCCTCGTGGTCTGAGCTTAATATGACCTACGGAGGAGCTTTCTTTTCCCAGGACTGTTTCAACTACTTGCAATGCCCCATTTTTTTCAGCAAATCCTAACTCATTTGTTTTATCCACATGTCCTCCCAGCTTTTCAAGTTTTGTACTTTTTTCAACTCCTTCCAACCTTGGTTTCCTCGACATAACCTTTTCCCTCTTTTGGTTTTCAGTATTGGCAGCATGCTTCTTTACCCTAACATTTCTGGAGGACAATTTTTCCTTGTCCGCTCTGGCAGAATCCATTTCCTTCAAATAATCATCGAATGATGGCTTAAACTCTAATTCACTTGAAACCAGACCATCACTAATCAACCCAGCGTTGAAGACACTCTTCGACGAAGCACAAGCTGGTCCATAATTGAGCTTTTGAGCATGAAAAACTTGATATTTCCTTGCAGTTCTAGTGTCCAAAGACGTACCAAGAAAGGGTCTCCAAGATACCGTAACCCCGGAAGAAAACGAATTTCCATAGCAATGCATAGCAAAAGCTGAATTTCTACTAATTTCAAAGCTAACACCTCCCATTTCTTCATCAAAGGGTAGGACAGCCAAACTCGATGTTTCTGAGTTTTGAAAGACAAGGACCAGTAGAGAGAGCTTGTTTGGAAATGTCTTTTGTTTTATTGTTGGTAAAACACCATTATTGGCCTCTAAAATTTTATTAGATTTTATTTTAAATTTTTATAATTTTTTCCATCGTTTTATTTATTATAGTTTTAATAAAAAAAATGATAGTAAAATTTTTTAAAATTATATAAATGATAATTTAATCCCTTAAAATATTATAATATTAATAAAGTTTTCAGTAACCTCTTTGTTCATAAATTTTTTTTAAAAAACTTATTTTATCTTTATTGACAAATTATGATTTCTTATTAAATTCTTATAATTCTTTGAAAAAAAATTATTATTCTTAAAACAAAAGTTATGAATAAAGTTTGTTATTTTAAGAACTTATTTTTTAATAATAGAAATTACACTTAATAAATTGTGATTTTTTATTTAACTCTTGTGATTCACAGAACAAAAGTTATTGTTCCTTAAACAAAAGTTATGATTAGAGCTTGTTTTTTAATAACAAAAATTAAATTTGACATATTGTGATTTATTATTCAATTTTTGTAATTTACAGAACAAAAATTGTGACTTTTTAAACAAGAGTTGTGATTGAGTTTTGTTATTTTCAGTAAGGGTAAAATAGTATTTTTTTTAAAAAAAGTTATTGACAAAAAAGTCCTTAATGACTTTATTAGTATTATGGCATTTTGAGGGACCAAATTGTTATTTACACAATTCAAAAGAATTTTATTGTCATTTTTCCTTTTAGTAAGGTTGAATTATATTTATCATTTAGGTTCTATAATTTCAATATTTTCAATGGTTTTAACTCGTAAAAAGATTGAAAATACTTTTTTTTTTAATAAGTAAGGCAAGCTTGGGACTTGAAGAGTTTACAAATAAAAGTATCTAGATAACCCTCAACCTATCCTCATGTAAAAATACATAACAATCAATAGGAATATTAGTAATAAAAGTTATCAGATCTGCCTACTCCATGACTATCTCCTATAATGAGATTTGTACATTTAAAAAACTTTACCATACTCGTGATGAATGTCAACCTCCATAATACCATATAAAAGGGTGACTGTGGCATTAATTTTTGCCCTTTAAGGATTACTCTTGGTTTTTGATTTCCTCTAGTAGTTAAGGCTCAGGGAGAAGATGTTTCAAGGAATGTGTGATAACTATGGACATATCAGAAGGCATCAATTAGGGCAGAGACACAAAAGGTGGAAATTCCTTCTCATCAATGATTAGCTTGCAATTAGTTTGGGCTAAAGTTTAAAGAAGCACTTACCACTATATAGGCTCTTTGGGCCATAATTCTTTTGTCTTGCTTGACTTTATTATAGATTTGGATCCATTTTTTAGCCCATTATTGGCTAAATTTTTAGGATGAACTTTGTCAATCAAGCTTGATGGATTAGGTCTTACAGCTTCCTTACCTTTTGCTACACAAATCCCTTTTCCATTATTTAGGTCCTTTCTATAAGAATTACCCCTTTGTCCCATCTCAGAAATGGCTTTTTTTTGAGCCTCCCTTTTCTCAACATACATTATCAGTGATTTATCCATAGTGTCAAAAGCAAAACTTCCCATCATCATCCCCTAAGTCTATAAGGGCTGCATATCTTGAAGAAATCCATATGTAATCAACTTTTTCCCCTTAAGGCGTGTTTCTTCCCTTGAAATCATACCTAACCTTATAGCTTTTTGGATGTGCAAAATGAAGATGAGCAGGCTCCAGAGGAAACATCTAAATCTTGAATATTTCATCTACTCCAGGTAGCTTACTCTCCAGCAACAAGCAAGGTAGTGGAATAGCAATAATTGGGCTTGAAGCTTGAGAAGACGACACACTTGATATCCATGAACACACTTCTGTTCGATGTCCATATCTCCCACAGGCAAAACAAATTAGATCAAGTCCCTCGTATTCCACATTGAAGAGTGTAGAAGCCAAGATAATTTGAGGCACTAATTTCTTTTGCAAGTTGAGCTTAACACAAATCCTAGCATATCTCCCTTGTTCAACTTTAGCTTTTAAGGCATCCACATCTGCAATTGTATTCATATCAACTTTGATAGTTCGTCCGATCATGTCACTTAATCTATAGATGAAGCTCTTAGTGTAATAATGCATGGGAATGTTAGGAATGTGAACCCAGGTAGTGATTCTCCCTAAAGAATTATGAAAAGGATCAAAATATGGTGTCCATCGTTGAACAAGCACACAATGCTATGCAATAAGCCAAGGTCCTCTAAACAAGGCTTTTTTATACTGAACTACCCAGTTGGTCTCATCAGTGAAACGAACAACATAGTAGTTGTTAGGAATGTCAATAAGCTCAAATTCATTCAAGTATCAAATTCTTCTCAAAACACTCCTTAAACTTTCACAGAATGAAGTGTGCTCCAAGAATAGTGATAACCAATGTATTATTCCAAGGCCTGCACCAATCATTAAAATCGTTGTGAGAGACAGGGATGATAGGATAAATACTCATTAGCTTTTTTATTTACTCTAAAGGTTCAAGTAGGTCCCACATTTGTTAAAGCAAGTCCGAGATCAAAAGATCATCTTCCATGACGGAACTTCCTAAGCGATGCCATTATAATCAATTCCTTTTAAATCCTAAAAGAGATTCCTTATATGAAGACTATCTATTGTTGACAGTAGGACTCTTCTTTTCTTTAGATGGTCACGCCAAATCAACACAAGTCTCTATGCTTCCATTCTATCGGACATGATGCCATTTCCTTGACCTCCTTCTTATTTTAAAAAACATGATCATTAGGAGCGCACTATTTGGAGGCTTGTCCAAGTGGCATTTTCTGATTGCATGTTTCTTCCATCCCTTGATTTCTTCAAAAGACTGCAAATACTGAAAAAAAAAATAAGTATTAAAAACAAAAGGGTTAGTATACAGCTTAAATCTTGAACTATAAGTTTAGGAGCGATTTGAATCCTAAACTTTTAAAAGATACATTCTAAATCCTAAACAATTAAAGTTGAAAAAAAATTGTCCCCCTATTAAATTTCAACAAACGTGCAT